AATGACTAAAGGAAGAGGCTGTTAATTTGATACTTTAAATTATTACATAATAAAACAGATTAAAGACTTGTATTTTTATATTCTAGTAAGGAAAAATGTTGATTTCAAATTGGTTTTGGACTAGCATAAAGGATGCAAATTGTGTGATCATTCATTACTCTCATATGAAGAGTGGCAAAAATCAGAGATGGTTCTATGTTGTTTTTGACTGAAAAATATCCTTGTTTGAGCACATAATGTAATTAAATTCTTTTCATCTGCAATCCAATAAAACATGTACTAAACGCAAGTGAATCAACACAGCCGGTTGCTAGCATTATGACTGGGGATGCACTGGTGTGGATAAGATAAGAACTGGCCTGAATCTCTGCCCCAAACTAGAAATAAAAGAACACTGAAAAAAATTCAAATCATCCGTGAAACTTATTTTTCTTCTAATTTCATATGCCCTTTTATTGCAACGGAAATTTGGGGGCATTTTGTTACTTGATTAACTTAAATAGGAAGTACTAAAAAACAATGTAATAAAACATACACCAAAATTTAATAATCCACACTTAAAACCCTAAATTGGATGAGTTTTACTGTTTTGAGTGAATTCATTTTGGGGTCTTTCTCTTTTTCCCCAAGTAAACATAAAAAAATTAATTGAGAAAATACAAACAACCCACAAACATTTAAGTTTTCAACAAGATTTTGGGGGAAGAGTATCGGATGTTTATTGCGTGCCAATGTACTTTTTGTATTATTTCACACTTCAGTGATCATTACAGCATTGTTGAGATGGGTCATGTTCCGAGCAGACTGAATAATACGAAGGTGGCTATCTGCAATATTGATTAAGGAAGGGTAAGGATCTTAATGAAAAGAAATGTGATTTGAGGTCGTACTTTAGTGTCAGAAACTCAGTTGCCAAAAGAAAAATTAATACAGATCAATAAGCTAGAGAAATTCACATTCTAGATTTAATGATTAAGGTTCTAACACTGTCACTTGTACTATCATTCTCTTAAACTGGGACTCAGCAATAAATTATGAACCAGATCATAACACTTCAGTGTTCTTCCACCTACTGACCAGCATGTCAGAATAGTCACATGAATTGAAGCCAATCAGCAGTTATTGGAAATAAAGATTTTTAAATAGTGCATGTAGAGAACCTCTGAGCAGCATGTTACTCCTTGGACCAGAACCGGCTAACAACATGGAGCACAGCTCTTCCTTTTTTATGGGGGGTGGTCAGCAATGTCCTAGAAGAGAGAATGAAGAAAATCTTAAAAACTTAATTAAATAAAAATAGAAAAGGAGGTGGGGTGGGGAGAAAAAAAAAGAGACTAAGGAAGAAAAAAAAAACAGAAAAAGGAAAAGGAGAAACAGGACAAGCTGAGGAAAAGAGAAAAATAGTAAAAAGGTAATGAAGGGAGAAAGAAAAAGACAGGATGAAGAGTGATAAGTAGGTAGCAAAAAACAAGCGAGAAGAACGAGCAAGTGAAGCTCAGGGAGAAAGAAGTAGGAAGGGGGAATAAATAGTAGTGGTTGCTCCAGTTTGTTTGATTTTTAGTTAAATTACTGTCCAAGGCTACAAGACAATTCTGACCTGAGAGAGGTCTCACTGTTCCTCCTAACCCAGACTCCAGCTTCTAGGGTGAGCTCTCAGAGCCCTCCTCACCAGCCACAGCCACAGATCTGCTGCCTGTGGAGATGCTTTCTACCATGTCTTCAAAACGAATGTCTACTCTTCTTTTATCTCTTCTGAGCACTTTTTAAACTCTATGTTGTGACTGAATATTTGCTTTTCCCCAAAATGCATGTGTTGAAGCTCTGATCCCCAATGTGATTGTAATGACATTAGAAGTAGATACTTTGAGTGGTAATTCAGTTCAGATGAAGCCATGACATGGGAACTCCCATGGATCAGTGTCCTTATAACAAGAGTAAGAGATCAGAGCTTTCTGTATCTCTGTCATGTAAGGACACAGTAAAAAAGTAGCCATTGGCAAGCCAGGAAGATAGTTCTCACAGGAATCAAATTGGCTAAATCCTTGACCTTGCACTTCCACCATCCAGAACTGTGAGATATAAATTTCTGTTGTTTCAGCCACCCAAACCACGATATGTTATTATAGCAGACTGGGCTGCTCACACCCTGTTCCACCATATCCTCCATGTCTCAAAATACTTGACTTCACTTTCTAATTTTCATGTAAAATAGAAATACAGAGAATGTTTCCTGCCTTTCATATCTATCTTTTATTTGTATGCACCTCAAAAGGTGACACTCATCTTTTGATGAGTCATACTTCAATTCTTTTTAATGCCATTTCAACTCTACTGTCTAAGTATATCATAAATACTTTTTTCTCTTTGAAACAGCTCGCTATTGACTTAGTGAAGCCCCACATTACTGTTGGACAGCATTAATGAAGTATGAACTTTAAAATAAAATTGGACTAGGCTGGGCTCATGCCTGTAATTCCAGCACTTTGGGAGGTGGGGCAGGAGGGTTACTTGAAGGTAGGAGTTTGAGACTAGCCTGAGCCACAGAGCAAGACTGTTTGTCTACAAAATGTTAAAAAAATTAGTCAGGTATGGTGTTGCGTGCCTGTAGTCCCAGCTACTTTGGGAGGCTAACATGGGAGGATCACTTTAGCTAAGGAAGTTGAGGCTTCAGTGAGCCATGTTCGTGCCACTGCATTCCATCCATGGTGACAGAGTGAGACCCTAGGTCTCAAAAATAAATTAATAAATAATAAAATCAAAATTGAGTTAATTCTGATGCTCAACAGAATGGAGTAAAAGCAAAAATAGGTTTTAAATATATATATATTTAGTTTTTCTTGAAAGCAATTAATTTGTAATAGAATAACAGATGTTTAATTTTCTCTGAATAATTGTTATATTTATCTGTTCTAAATATATAGTTAACACTAAATGGACACAGTCAATGTATTTACTTGTTCTTTTAAACTCTTGATTATTTTATGTTGACTGTAAAAATGTATTTATGTATGAAGATTCTAGAATTTTCATGCCAATTACTTTATGAAAATAGCTACTGTTTCACCCTGTTGTTGATTCACTTACCAGAATTTGCATACTATTCAGTAGTACATTCACCCAGTTTCTACAAACTTTAAATACTTTGCAGACTGATACAAAATCTAAACCTGGAATAGTTCACATTTATCCCAAAAACATTTAACTGAATATAGTAATTGGTTTTAGAATCCAGGAAAATAATATAAAACTTTACAGTATTCTTTCTAGACAATTGCTTTTACAAATACTGAATTCACTTCAGTGTTTTCAATTCAGCAACAAAAGAATAATACTAACCACCCATGTTCTATGTGGTGTAGCAGACGAAACTTGGTATTCTGAAACACAAGTATATGCATCCAATAAATAATGATTAGAGATACATTAAAGATCTTTCTATTCTTTGCATTCTCCTAATAGTTATGACACATCTGAGCTAAGCTTGAAAGTAAGGTCAGGAAATATAAATGAATGTCAAAAAGTCAAAGAAAATGCCTGGATATTTAAGAATGGAAAAAAAGAAGAAAAGTGTTTTAGAGAGAAGGGATACAAGGAGTCAAAAAGAAAAAAAAAGATATGTGATTGGGACTCTGTGGGAAAAAAAATTTATATATATATATATGTATGTATATATATATAGACACACACATATATACATATATTCCAGTGTTGGAATACCTAAAAAGATGTTTAAGTGGCTATTTCTATTTTTTCTTTTAAAGCTGTTTCATTTTTGTATTCTAAACTCATTTCATTGACATAAGCCCAAAACAAGATCTATTACAAACACAAGTGTTTTGTGTGATTTTGTGCTTTTCCTTTTTAATTTAGGAAACAGGGCACATTCTAGGTATAGAAATTAGGAATAGAATTAGCATTCATAAAAAGGAGAGGCATTCTATTAAGTGGGATAATACAAAGCAGAATGTCAAAAATTTAGGCAACATGGAAATTCATGTCTCTAATAAAGAGGGTTGTAAAGTTTTCAGATTTAGCGTAACTTTCACTGATCTGAAGGGCAAAGATAACCCAGCTAACATCAGAGGTATACATCAAAATAAAGTATACACTTTCAACTGTAAATATTTGTTCATTTAAAATAATAATTAATAATTCATTCAACAAATGTCTACGGAACATTTGCTGTCTGCTAAAGCCTGTGAATGAAAAGCTAATGAAAACAGTATCTTATCCTCCACATTTCAACAAGGAAGAAGCATGTGGAAAGATGGTGACAGTTGTGACAGGTGCTAAATTATGGACAAGCTTCTCGAGGGTCAGAGAAGCTCTGAAAATTTCTAATTTGAAAAAAATCAGGGTTTTTATTAAGGTATTAGCTTTTGAGTTCAGTAATGAAGAATTAGCAGGGATTCTTTAAGAATATAATACATGAGGGGCAATTCAAGAAGAAGAAATATCATATGCAAAAACACAAAAGAACCTGGCACGCTGGCTCATGCCTGTAATCCCAGCACTTTGGGAGGCCAAAGCCAGTGGATCACGAGATTAGGAAATCAAGACCATATCCTAGCTAACACAATGAAACCACATCTCTACAAAAAAAAAATAAAATTTAGCTGGGTGTGGTGGCACGCGCCTGTAGTCTCAGCTACTTGGGAGGCTGAGGCAGGAGAATCGCTTGAACTCAGGAGGCGGAGGTTGCAGTGAGCTGAGATTGAACCATTGCACTCCAGCCTAGGTGAGTGAGACTCTATCACAAAAAAAAAAAAAAAAAAAGGAATTAAAAAAAAAAAACACAACGGTATGTTAAAGATGACCTTAAGCTTGCTGTAAGTAGGGTAAGCTGTACATTTGGCACAGAGGCTGGAGATAACTGGAAGCAATGCTGCCCAGTAGAAATGTAACGCAAGCCACACAGGTAGGTGTTTACCAGAAGCCACATTTTAAAAGTACAAATAACCAGTAAATTTCATTTTAAGAATATATTTTATTCAGCCAATATTCCCAAAATATTATCATTTCAACAGAGTCAATACACAAATTATTAGTGAAACAAAATGCACTTTTTGGTTTCAGTCTTTGAAATCTGACTGTAGTTTCTATTTACAGCACATCTTGACTCTGCCTGGCTGTATTTCCGTGCCCTTTAGACGTGGTGCTAGTGATTGCCTCATCGGTCAGTTCTGTAAATAGTACATGACATAGTTCCTTAATTAAGATAGCACAGAGATCCATTTTAACAGAAAAAACATCATATACATGTAACGAAATTTCTCACCTACCCTATAAATGTGTATAAGTGTTCAAATAAGTAAAAAAAAAAAATGCTCTGGAGTCCCCCATTTGGACAAATTATTTTTAGGTTTGATTAATTTTATGTACATTATTAAGTATGTGTGGCATAAACCTAGTCGCACATTTCTCAAGCTTGTAGCTCTTATACGTTTATGAGATCCACACAAGTGCACACTTGTATAAAAACACTTACATGCCTTTAATCAACATAAATTTGATATGAGGAATATGTTTAGCTTAAACTTAAGCCGTTTTTGAAGCATGAATAAAAGGTCGGCTTCTCCGAGTATGTCCCTTTTATTTCCACATCTAAAACATACTGATTTAAACACTACATGGCTGCTAGTAAACCTCATAGTGGTATCATTTGTTCTTTCTAGGCAAGAATGGATTTTTTCTAAATGGGGTCACCACTTTTATTTAATTGGTTAATCTGCAGGTTATAATAGTCCAATAAGGTGTCAGTGTGATTTTTAACAAACTCAAGCAACAAAGTTGTCTTGGCTGTATAAGCAATCACTAGAAGGTCCCGATCTATTAAATCACGTAGATTATATCGAAATGAAAGCAGAATATTTGTAAAATACAGTAGGGAAGCTTTGGATTGCCTGTGGTTTAGTTAGCAGATGCTCCTGCGTGGGCAATGCGGCTGTACCCCGCACTAGACTCTTTCTATGATATCCAGTGACAACACGGAGTCATTTAAAGTCCTTGGAGGTTTACAAGGTCAGCTTTAATCTTAAGAAGAGAAGTGCTTGTGAATGTAGACAGAGGTTGCACATATATGTAAGAAACATAATTCTAAACTCACGATCTCTTTGGTGGATAATACATAATTTAAATATCCAACTAGTTGTTAGCTGATTCACTGTGGGAGAGTAGCACCATTAAATACTGTTATTCAAGCCACATTATTATAACCTTTTTTTTTTGTGGAATTGTCTTTAAAATGGCTTACAGTTGTGAGGGAAGATAAATTCCGCTATTGATAATCCCCCAACTTTTATTAACAAATTATCTTCAAAAAACGAAAACGCTCACTTCAGTACTGAGCATGATCAGCAGAGCAGTGAAATTTGAATGAGCCTGCAGTCATCCTGGGTGCTATTTTGAGAAAACAATATTCACTTGAATATATATGACTGGGAGCACTTTTTTTTCCATGTTAAACACAGTTTTTTAGTCAGGATTTGAGTAGCTCTTTTTTCAAATTTCTGATTCTTGCTGAGTACTTAAAACTTGGTTATCAACCCTACTCTCAGTAAAATTTGTAAATTTATTACACTTGATTCTATATAGCTTATCTGCTTCTGAAAAAAGAGGTCTAGAAAATGATTCACTACTAGCAGCTACTAGATAGTTTTCTCTTGCTAAATATTGATATATTCTTTGTGTGCACATATTCGTGAGCATAAATTTAACTTGGTACACATCCACTCAGAAATGATATATTGATGTCCTTTTCCTTTTAAAAAAAACAAATCCATTCAAAAGTGAGCAAAGGATATGAACAGATACTTTCCAAAAGAAGACAAATATGTAGCCAACGAACATGAAAAAATGCTCATCATCACTGGTCATCAGAGAAATGCAAATCAAAACCACACCAAGATACCATCTCATGCCAGTTAGAATGGTGATCATTAAAAAATCTGGAGACAACAGATGCTGGAGAGGATGTGGAGAAATAGGAACACTTTTACACTGTTGGTGGGAGTGTAAATTAATTCAACCATTATGGAAGACAGTGTGGCAATTCCTCAAGGACCTAGAAATAGAAATTCCATTTGACCCAGCAATCCCATTACTGGGTATATACCCAAAGGATTATAAATCATTCTGTCTTAAAGACACATGCACACCTATGTTCATTGTGGCGCTGTTTATGATAGCAAAGACCTGGAACCAACCCAAATGCCCATAGATGATAGACTGGACAAGGCAAATGTGGCACATACATACCATGGAATACTATGCAGCCATAAAAAACCATGAGTTCATGTCCTTTGTAGAGACATGGATGAACCTAGAAACCATCATTATAAGCAAACTGACATGAGAACAGAAAATCTAACATGTCATGTCCTCACTCATAGTCGAGTGATGAACAATGAGTAAAACTTGGGCACAGGGAGGGGAACAACACTTACAGGGCTAGGTCGGGGGGTGGGGGGGAGGGGAGGGACAGTTGGGTGGGGGTGGGGAGGATGAGGAGGGATAACACCGGGAGAAATGCCTGACATAGGAGAAGGTAGGGGTAGGGATTGGGGGGGGATGGAGACAGCAAACCACCATGGCATGTATGTACCTATGCAACAATCCTGCAGGGTGCAGAACGTGCACATGCACCCCAGATCCCAAATACATTAAAGAAAAAAAGTTATTCAGAAACTGTTACATATGTTATTAAAACGGGAGAGTTCCCTGACCCGACTTGCAGGAGGTGAGACGGGGTGTGTCTCCCCATTAGGCCACCGTGAGCGCTCACACCCCTTACAGGAGGGGTAGCACTAAGATGAGCAGGTGCAGGAGCCAAGGGTCTGGGGTTTGTATGGATAAAGGATAAGGGGGTGTGGTGGGCCAACAGGCAACTTTTGGGCATGAAAACAGGAATACGTATTCTCATTGAGGGCCACGGGTTTCCAGGTTTGAGGGTGGGGCTTCTGCCAGGGAAATGGCCTCTTTTACCAAGCATTTTCCTGCTTCCTGTCCATATCATTAATAACTAACATTAACAAATTCACAGTCTCCATGATAAAATGCTAACTATTACAAAAATGATGACTCCCTTAACATGATATTGATGGCACATTGTGCTCTAAAATAATTTTCTCATTCAGCTGTTTCTTGAAATTTATACTGAATACAAAATTCTCAATGTACAAAACAAATCAATAATATATCCCTGTGTGTTAATAGACTTTTAAGTTTATGGTATATCAACTAGTTTTATGAAATTAAAAAAGTTCAGGTTTCAAATGTTTTGAAGAAATTATAAATTAAACCCCATTAAATAGATTAATACTGAATATCTTTATTCTCATATTATTATAATTTGGTTTGTGTCTTTTGAATAGGAGTCCATATCATGCAGAGTTTTACAATGTTTTGACCAAGCTACCTCTTTATTTTTCTACAGGATCACATATAAAGACCACTTAAAAAATAATTCCTGTTTTTTTTAACTTTTAATATTACCACCTGCTGTTAATATGGATATTTACTGCATAGGTAGGAGATTTTCTCAATGTTCATATAAACTGTTTTTATGTTTGTACCAAGAACAAACCTAAAATTAAATAGTAATATGTCTGTAATATACCTGGTTTTATGTCACTGTATAAATTAATGTTATAAGTATCATTAAATGACCTAAAAACAAATATTAGATCCTCAGCAGAACATGAAGTCCTAATGATAAAATAAATCCACTTATTATTAATTGAGCAAACTAATAATTTTGAATTTAAACTGTTGATATTATAAGAAAATAGAATCTTTTAATAACTAAGATTATTTTATTACATACACAAGTATCTGTTACTGGGTTTATATTTTCTTTAGGTTGGCTGTCTAAAAAAATAAATTGGTTACCTACTTCGTTTGCCCTTTAATGCAGTTGAAAACCTTTGTCTTGGGTCTGATAGAACTGGATCAATTTATCTATTAATTCAAGAAATATTTATTAAAAATCTACTATTTCCTAGCATGTCCTAAATGCTGAGCATAGAATGGGAAATAAAATAAGGTAATTATATTGTAAGTTATTTTTTTGCATGTTATAGAAATTGGATTATAAATAAGTAATCCAATAACTCTAGTATTTCTGATAGAGATAAATGCGTTGGAAAAAGATAAAGCAGAGAAGAGGACAAGGAAGTTCCAGAGTAGGGTACAATGCTAAGTAGAAGTGCTGGGGAAGTTGTCAACTAGAAGGTAGAATTTGAGCAAAGTGATGGAATAGATAAGAAAACAAGCATGTGTATGTCTCTGTCTCTGTAGTGGAAGAATATTTCCAGGGAGAAGATAAGAAAGACAAAGTCACCCAGGAGGAAATTTGTCTAGTGTTCTCAATAAGCAGCAGGTATGAACTGTGTAAGGGGAGGAGTCATTGGGGAAGAGGTCAGAACAGTAATAAAAAGGAAAGTAGATCATATGGGGCCCTGGAGGGCATTGCCAAACAAACAAACAATAACAAAAACTTGGCTTTGGCTTTTACTGTGAGATGGGAAGCCATCGGAGGGTTTGGGGCAGAGATATAACTTCATCTGACTATATAAGAAAGCAGTTTGAACACTGTTAACAATAGGCAGTAGAGGAGAAAAGAGGCCTGGAAAGACATTGGAATCTATTTCAGTCATCCAGATAAGCAGTAACAATGGTGAGAACCAGGGTGTTCATGGCAGACAACGTGAAATGGTCAGTTTCAAAGCATGTTTGAATATAGAGATAACACTATTTTCTGACACCCTGGCTGTGGGGTATGACAAAAATATTTTAGCTTAATCACTTAGGTCTAGTTTCCATTTAAAAAAAACACAAACACACACCCAAAACAAAGACTGGAGAAGGGGGAAGGGCCATGGGAGATGACTATGAGACTTCTAAATGGAAATACTGAATTGATAACCAGAACTCATTGTGGAGTTCAGAAGAGAAGTCTGAAGTATGGGAGTTGCCGGCATGGAGTAGGTCTTAAGGAAATGAGGCCAAATAAAATTACCAAGCGAGTGAAGACAGAGAATTAAAGAGGAGAAAAGATTAATCTCTGAAGCCCTCCAATGGTGAGATGAGGGAATAAAGCAGTATGTTCTCAAGAAGAAAACAAAACAGCCATGGAGGTAGGAGAAAAACTTTAAGAGTAACCTGGAAGCAAAGCAAAGAATCTGTTAGGACAGGCCAAGCCACGAGAGAATCAGGAACTGGTGATAGGTAGCTGACTTCCATAAAAATAATCTTAAATGAAGTGGTGCAGACAACTGGCTGAACACAATGAATTCCAGAGAAAATGGAAGAAAACAAAAGTAGAGAACCAGTAAAGGGAACTAACATTGAGAATTTTTGCTGGAAAAATACAGCAGGAAAGTGGAGTATTGTCAGAAAGAGATATGGAGCCAAGAAGTTTGTATTTTGATTTTATTTTTTGAAATAGGGAGATTTACAGATAATTAACATGTTGTTGAAGGCAATTCAATATATATTAATAAATAATGGTGTAGCAGAATGAGAAAAGAATCGCTAAAGCATGCCTTTTTGTGGATGAGAAAGAATAGAGTGAAATATGTATGGAAAGGATTGATCTCAGAACATAATTCACACATGCTAATAGAAGGGGAGGAGCATGGAGCAGGTAGATTGGCTCTCTGCTGCTGGTGGAAATTCTTTCCTGACTGCACTTTTCCTTCTCAGTGAAATAGGAAAGAAGGTTATCAGCTGGGAGTGATGACTGGGATATAGAGCTAGACGTCTGAAGAGAAAATGAAAAAAAAAAAAAACTAGCTTTCTGAGAGCATGGAGTTTTAACTGGATTTAGGAGTCTGATTGTGTAGCCCACTAAAGTGCACACTGGAAGTTTAGTGACTACGGATTTACAGTGAGCCCAGCACAATGATTGGCTATTTTTCTCCAGGCATATTCAGCTGTATTAATACAGACATAGAATAAGCAGGGAGTTGTATTTAACTAGAGGTGGGGTTTTACTAAGGAAGTCTGATGAGTAATAGCAGGAATAGAGAATGAAAGGTCAGTGATTAATTTTCCACATGTGTAACTTATCCACTCAGCACTGTTCATTCTAATATTATTATTCTTTAAATAATATTCGTAGTGAAATTCAGCAGTGTAAAAGACTATAAGGTAGAATAAACAAATTCACATTAAAACCCATTCCAATTCCAGGTTTCAGAGGAAGCCACTATAAATAGTTTTGTGTCTATCCTTCTAGACATTTTCTATGAATACATAAACAGGTAGTTTTTTTAGGCCAAATATTGCTTCACACTATTCATACTGTTCTGGTGCTTACTTTTTTCACTCAGCAATATATCACAGGCACAAACTCCATGCTGGCACTTAAAGATCTATCTCATTCTACAGCAACATAATATTCTATTGTTTTTGTGAGGCATAATTTATTTAAATAATCACTTTTTGATTTAGGTTATTTCCAGTTTTTGCTATTATGGGTAATGCAAAAGTGAACATCCTTACTCACAGAAGTTTATTTGTCCTTGTATTCTTTCTCTAATGTAGATTACTTGAGGAAGGATTGCTTAGTCAAAGAGTATGTACTATTTTACCATTTCTACTAAAAGAATAGCCAAAAAGCATAACAATTAATTCTCTTCCACATTCCCATCAACACTAGATATTTTTAAAAATAATTCATTTAAATATATATTTATTGTTATAAAGAGTTTGAGCATTTATAAACTATGAAATATTTTAAATATACAAAAACATATAAAATATATGTAGGTACTGATAAGCTTCAAATGATTCTAATAATTAACCATTGCTGTTTCACATCTCTAGTTATTATTTTTTTAATTTAATGTCCTTTGAAAAATAGAATTTCCATATGCAGCTTAATTCTCACATGTATTTTCTCCTTTCTCTTTACTACAGGTAAACATTATCCTGAAAATGTTCTTTCTGTTTAACACATTATGTATCTTGCAGTTGTCTTTTTGTCTTCATTCTTCACTAGTGTGTGAGCACCATGCTCACATGGCAGTGATTCATGCTCACGTTGAATCCCCAGTACCGAGAATGAGAATGGCGGATTGTAGATACTCAGTAAACAAATGTCAAAAGAATAATGAATGCTTTAATGGGGGTATGTATTCGTATCCATGTACTTTTACCAGAAACATAAGTATCTGTTACAAAAATATATTGTATATTCTACACAAAATTATAAATGTAATCATACTGTATGCTTACTTTTGCAAAATTTTTTCATGTTAGGTTTTTGAAACCTAGCTGATTAATACTTTTTTATATAGTTAATTCATATAAAATTTTAGTTACCATTACAACATTTATTATCATTAGAATGATTTCTTCATTTCCATGGTAAGGAGCAGTTAGGTATTTCTATTTAGGTTGTCTCTTAATTTTTCACTTATACATGAGATTGCCAATAAACAATTGCCAAGCCATACAATAATTACACTAGTATTGCTCATTCTTCTTTATTGTTTTTGTATCAATTTATATCCATCCAGAATTTGAGTGCATTTGCATCTTCACCAACTCTTTTAATCCAAACTGGGCCAAAGTAGTGAGACTGAACTGCTCATAAGCATTATTTTTTGCTTAATTCACTGTCAGATTGAGGGTCTTTCAAATTTGTATTGGTCATTTGGAGACACTCTTAGTTTTAGGTCCCTGTTTTATATTTCTTGTCTTCTTTCCCCACATCATTTCCTTTTCCTTCCTAATTGAAAACATATCACATATAGTAAATATATGTATATACGTGTGTGTGTATGTGTGTGTGTGTGTACTGAATACTATTCCTCTGTGTAGAAATAGTCTTTATTGGTGATAGCACTGACGATGCAAAGTGATCATTTTTCAGAATTTTCTCTTTTCTTTTTTAAAGCTATTTATTTTTTCTTGCCCAAGGACATAAATATCTTGTTTTATTTTCATCTAAAAAGTTTTGTATGCTTGCAATAAATCTTTATTACTGATAAATGCACATCTCCCTTATTTTCATAAACAAAGTGAAGAGATATCTGAAGAAGATGAAGATCTGAAGGTTTCCTTTTTTTAATTTTTTTCCAATTAAGATTCTTTTTTTTTTTTTACTGCATTTTAGGTTTTGGGGTACATGTGCAGAACGTGCAAGATAGTTGCATAGGTACACACATGGCAGTGTGTTTTGCTGCCTTCCTCCCCTTCATCCACATTTGGCATTTCTCCCCAGGCTATCCCTCCCCAGCTCCCCCCACTGCTCTCCCTCCCCTATTCCCCCCCAATAGACCCCAGTGTGTAGTACTCCCTTCCCTGTTTCCATGTGTTCTCATTTTTCAGCACCCGCCTATGAGTGAGACTATGCGGTATTTCATTTTCTGTTGGTTTCTTTATCTATCCTAGAACGTTCACAGATCAATCCATCCTTTGTCATCTGATCTGTAATGCTCCCAAGATTACATACAAAGCACCCACGTATTTCTGTATTAGTTACTTACAAATGTGGTAACAGAATACCACAAATATTACAGTTTTAAAGAATACACACTGGTTGTCTGAAGGCTCCACAAATAGAAGTGCTAAATCAGTTTCACCAGCTAAGGTCAGAGTAATGGCGGGCTGTTTTCTCTTGGAAGCTCTGGTAGGAGAGTGCATTTCCTCGCCTTTCTTTTAGCTTTATTGGCTGACTGTATTCTTTGGCTTGTGGTCTCTTCCTCCATCTCCATCACCAAAATACAACGTTTCAATTGCTGCTTTGATCAACATATTACCTTCTCTTGTATAGTCATAAAGTCTTATGCTTCCCTTTTATGAGGATAGTTCTGTTTACATAAATAATAAATATTTTTTATTTGATAATAAAATAAAAATCCTGATCATTTCCACATCTCAAAATGTGTCATTTAATCATTTCTGCAAAGTTTTTTCTTCTCAAAATGTGTAAGTTAATCCCTTCTGCA